AGAGGGTCTGAACTTTGTAAAATTCTTAAATACTGTCTTTATTGTTTTCGGTAAATTATTTTAAGAACTACAGAAAATCAACTTCAAAGTTGAGACTGAATTCAATAAATTGCCAAATTCTGGTCGCTCTAAAATGCTCCATAAATAAGAATAAATCTAGGTCTAAGTGGAATTTCTCTCTATAAATGTCATGAAACACACTGAAGAATTGTACCACACAAACATGTTACAACCACTTCAGTGTTAAGAAGTCTTCAGCACAAACTAGAAAGCTAACCCACTGAAACTATCATTTTGCTCTGAAAAAAAGTTTTTGAAGCATGTGTGTTTTTAACTGTTTGACAGTAGAGTTCTTGTCAGTTGCTATAGTTCAGATCTGTTGAAGATAAATGAATCATAGAATCCTAGAATTATATAGCACAGAAGGAGGCCATTCAGCCCATTGTGTCTGTGCCAGCTTTTTGAAAAGAGCTATCCAAATTAATCGCATTTCCCCACTTTCTTCCCATAACCCTGCAATCATATCCTCCCCAAATAATTATCTAAAAATATAAATGAATGTATTCTTTGTTGCCAATCATTTCAAAATGGACCCTGTGGGAAAGGCTTTTGCTTTGGCATCAGATAGTACATTGCTGAATCTAAAGGCAAAAAAGAGAACTCAACATCTCAGAGCATTCTCGAATTGCTTAACTACAGTAAACAAGAACCGGGTTTTACTTTCTGATGTTACAGTTGTCCACAAAGGAAGGATCGACCTTCAGTGAGATGTTTCATTGAGAAATACCATTGCTTGTTGCACTTGTTGCAGGGAGAAAAGTTAAGGATCTTCTCAACAAAGGCAAATTCAAAGTTAAGGTTACATTGGTAATCAGGTCAGAGGAACACTAATGGACCACCTCAGGAAATAATAAAATCTCAGCCTCACAAGTTGTTCAGTTTCTGAGAATTTGTAATTATTAATAAAATAATAATAATCCTTGCATTTGGTATAAACCAGTCGAATACAGATTTTGTGGCCTTAGAACATAAAGATGAATATTTGTTTTAAAATTAATATTCATTCAACAAAGAAATATCAGCTGGAAACAGTGCACAAAACTTAGTTTGGATTTGGAACTCCTCTTTGACCATCTCTATTGGTCATCTTGCCCCTCCCCACTCCTTTCGACTTCCACTCCCAACTCGGGCCAAGCCATTACTGTTAAGCGCCTTGGGACATCCTTCTGATGTGAAAGCGCTATATAAATGTAAATTTGTATTGTATAACAATGGCTTTTTAAATATGTGCGGCATCATAGCTGAACCCAATCCTGCCATTGACCAAATTCATATATATAAACTTTTCAGTAAGGGGTACTGAATAGTATTCAGGAACAGAAGCTCATGCTGATCAAAACCCCATTCCACGAAAGATCAACTAAATCAGCTTAGCTTTGGAGATCGTCCTTGTCTGTTTGACTCTATCTTAAACTGGCTCTGTATAAGCCAACTGAACCAGCAAAAGGGGAGCTAGGGAACTATTTCATCAAGCTGCAAAGCATTTCCTCATCTTAATCAAAAATACTACAACAATCTCTGGTTTTATTTCAGAAATCATCCACTCAAGTTCATGAAAGACAGGAAAGTTGTGTACAAGTCTTTCGGTCCACTGAAATTGATGCACTGTAAGAGGTATTGGAAGTGCAAAAAAGTAGACTGAAACTGCTGCTCCAAGTATCACAAGATTCCTTCATTTATTTATCTGAATAAATACGCAATAGCTCGAAATTCAAATCCTCAAATTAAAATTTAAGATTGTGCAGAAAATTCTTAAGTTTCAGTCTGAATTTGAAAGTTGTTTTTCCACAGTTCTTACAAAGGTACACAGAATGAAAAGTTCTTCCAAATTAAGACTGAAATTTAGGAATGTTCAACAATTCTGGAAAATCTTAATTTTAAGCGAAAATGATCATATGGGCAGAGATCTGAAGGAGTGTCAGGCTTTAGATAAGGGATCTGTAAGTGATCAGTCCAAACTTATTACTAATGCAATGTTTTCTTGATACTACTGCTGTCCTTAGTTATTTGTTTATTCTGCAAGTTCATATTTCCTGCATGGATAAATTTCTCTGAAGTTCTTATGCCTTCCCCGGGAATGCATGTAGTTTACAGAGTTGCAAAGAGACATATATATGCACACACATCCTTGCTAATGTTGGTAACATTGGCAAATTTACTCTAAACTTGGTTAAAACTAAGATCTGTCAGTGATTTTCATGGGACCATTGCACAAAAATCTTGCAGGAAATGAGGGCATATAGTTATAACAGTTGTTAACTCACTCCATATTATGTTAACTGTCACAACTGTTAATTTATACAAGTCATATTCAGTGCTCAAAATGTGCCTCTGTGTCCAGTATTTTATTTTTAATCTGAACTGAAAGCTGTGGAGGTAGAACTGAGCTACCAACATCCACAAAGTCAATATGCTAAGGCTTAAGAGAAGTGACAATTTTGGCTATGTGGGATCTGTGGGATCGTACTTGTTTCTATTAGCAGACAATCGTACTTGTTTCTATTAGCAGACAGCTGTAAAATAACCTAACGACTCCACATGATCTGCATGGCTTCCTGCCATCACATGAAGTACTTGCTTCATGAGGTAGAAGAGTATATGCCAGGAACATGCTTTGTTGGGACAACAGCTGCATCATTCCACACAGCTGTCCTTTAAAAAATCAGAAATCATTTCTGGCGAGTAATCATCAGTGGAAAAATATGGTGCGATTACTGAACCCTGCATCCTAACCATTACTTTCAGAAAAACATATTCCTTATGTTAACTATTCATTTGGGAGTTAGCAAATCCAAATAACGTGTAATGAATTAAATGATGAGCTGCCAAAGGTGTTGATGATGCAGTGGTGGACTGAGGACACACAGATGTCTTCAAGTTACTTGAGCAAATTAATCAAATCGGATGACAATTATTCAATTCAGGCATTAGAGAGGAAATTTTTAATAGCTTTGTGCTGAGAACCATAGAAATGTACAGCACTATAGAAGACCATTTGGCTCATCGTGTCTGCACTGGCTCTTTTAAGAGCAATCCTTTCAGTTCCATTTAGCTGTCCTTTCCCCATATCCCTTTAGTTTACTCCTTCCCACATTCAAATAATGAACCGAGCATGGTCAGCTACATTACAACTTCACTATAGCTGTCTGAACATCCAAACCATTAGCAATCTGAGCATCAAAATTGAGAAGTCATGACTTGAAAATTTAGTCACACCTTTCACTCTTAGCTGATATCACTGTTTTAATAGTAAACTGCAGGAGAACCTGACAGGCTGACCTGAGCTGAGGATTTTGTTCACTGTCCATATTTAGTTACACGGCAGCCACCCTTCCCAATGTTCTCCCCCGCCCTCTATTGAAAATGCTGGCATTTTATTTTTATCCTTGTATTTCTCAAAGTGTTTCACAGGAATTACAGTAAAGTGTAGTTTCTGTGCATTTTGTAGACTAATGTGGCACTCAATTTATACACAGCAATGTCCCACAACAGTCATGAAGTGAATGACCAATTCTATTTACAGGTTCTCAAACTATGGGACGGGGAGGGGGCAGTTGCATACCTCCCAACAGTCACAGGCTTTATGGGATTGGCCCTGCTTCCCAGCAAAGCCACCCACCCAACAACCAAACCCCACAACAATGCTTCCCTCCACAACAATCCTCGCGACAACAGTGCGGAGCAATAATTCCACTTGGAAACAACAAATTGCATTTACATGGCCCGTTTCACACTGGAAGGACTCAAGGTGCTGGACCAAGCTCAGTCTTCCCACTGATAAAGTAGGACTGATGTATATTATACTGACATAATCCAGAATTGTTTGGTGTTTTGTTTCCTAAAATGTTTGTACAGTTTTAATTTAGCTGCTGCGATTTGAACAGCATCGTGAGATAACATGAAAGGTGCTTTATGAAATAAAATTTGTACTTTTGACACTCAATTATAACTATATTCAAATCAAACCCCTTCTACTTTATTGCTCGTATTCTTGCAAAGTATAGGATTTTCAGTTCTTTGTCTTGTTTTAGTCAACTATGGGGAGACGCAATTGTTTTTTTTCTTAGCTTAGGGAGGTTCACTGTGACAAAGTTTGAGAACCCCTGATCTAATCTAGGGCATTCTCAAAATTTCCGCCACTTCAGTGTATCTATTCCATAACTTGAATGAATTCAATAACATTATGCATTCAGTGACCACCTAAAACTGAATGTCGCCCTTTGAGAAACAACAGTAAGAATGTACAGAATTAATGATCCAAAGTTAAACCAGACAACGTCTTGGTCTTATACAATTGAATTCATTGTTCTTCCTCACAATAATATTACTAGCATCCCTCCCCCACCAGGAAGGAAATATTTTAATAATTTTATCGCTCACTCCATCATGAGAAACATAAATAGAATATTTTCAGCATTTTATGTTTATCAAAGTTTCTCTTTGTATGTTAAGCAATTGAATACATACTGTGCTTGTACAGAATAACTAGTAAAATGGCCTTTCCCAGGAAGTGCAATAGCCACATGAGAAGGGCAAATATGCAGTAAAACCCCATTTATAACGCACTTCATTATAACGTGGGTTCACTTATTGCAAAATCACAAGAGAGGTTTAGATGTTCTGCTCATTTGATCTCATCCTTCCAGATTACCTACCTCACTGACCTCCCATCACAGCATCAATCATACACAACAACAACTTGCATTTATATAGCACCCTTAATGTGGATAGCATATCTGAATATATCAAACTGTTGTTTAAATGACTCCAGCTGGAGGGGGTGGTGGGGGTGGCGGTGCGGGAAAGGAACCTCAGTTTAGCGTTATATCTGAATTGAAAGTACATTACTGTGTACTTTTTTGTAGAGAAACAAATAATTGCTTCTTGAAGAGAAGAATTCTCAACCCGCCAATGTCACAATCAATAGCAATGTCACCTACCTTGGAGCCTTGATGTCCCTCTGAGCCTATCTCACCACGTAGTCCAGGGGGGCCCTGGAGAGAGAAAAATCAATTAACACAAAATTTTAAATTTCTATTATTCTAAATTTCCTGCAATAATAAAAAGAATTTGGTTGTAAAATCTTAATGAAAATATTAATCTTTTCAGTGGCGAAGATTTGCAACTACTGTCTATTGCTCTAGTTTAGTCATTGAATGCTCTGTGATGAATATCCTATGCAGACATTTCAGTGCTGCTGTTTATAGATGTTTTGTGCACCGTTTGTTAATACTGAAGATAAATCTTGATTTGTTGCTATTGCTAAAAGTTTTAACTTATATAAAAAATACTTGCTTTTCCAGTAATGTGCCTCCATGATATGCTGTTTTTTAATCACTCATATCATTTTGTTTGCATCAAGTCAACAACAACAACAACAAGATTCCATTTATAGAGCGCCTTTCACGTTGGGAGGACGTCCCAAGGCGCTGTACAGTTGGGTCAGGACCCGAGCAGGGGGATAGTAGGTCAGAGAGGTAGGAGGGAGCAAGGCCGTGAATGGCCTTGTAGGTGAGGATGAGGATCTTGAATTCGATCCTCTGGGGGATGGGGAGCCAGTGGAGGGGAGCGAGGGTGGGAGTGATGTGGTCCCGAAGCCTGGTGCGGGACAGTACACGAGCTGCAGAGTTCTGAATGACCTGCAGCTTGTGGAGGGAGGTGGCGGGAAGGCCGGCGAGGAGAGAGTTCCCATAGTCCAGCCTTGAGGTGATAAAGGTGTGGACCAGGGTTTCAGCAGCGTGAGGGGTGAGGTAGTGCCGTAGTCTGGCGATATTCCGGAGGTGATGGAAGGCGGTGCCAGTTGTGGCGCGGATATGAGGGAGAAAGGACAGCTCAGGGTCGAACAGAACACCGAGGTTCCTGACTGGCTTTGAGAGGTCTACAAAATTTAATGATATCTAAAGAGATCATTATTTTGAAACTGTTTAAAAACATATCTTTATTAAACTACGGGCCACGACCTTTACTCAATTCAATCTATGCATATACATATGATATTTCTTCTTTATTTAGTTCCATGGCTGGTGCTCTATTATGATATTATCACACAATTCAGTAATAATACCATTATCGGCAGCAGTGTAGAGCTCATTGTATGAGATAATTACTATATGCCAGAGGGAAGTTACCAAAATAACTCTATTCCCTGAAGCAATATTTCCACTTTTTGTGGCCTTTCTCAAATCTTTCCGGTTGAATATTTGCTTCTACACATTTTACTTCTCCCCTGTGTTGTGGATGCCTTGACCTGAATGCAGAAACATTACTTCAGTGTGGGAGCAGTAAACATATGGAACAGGCTCACGAGGTAAATTGTGGAAGCAGAAAGTGTTGATTTTTTCAAGAACAAATTAGATAAATTTCTGTAAGGAAATAATATCTCGGGATACAATGTATAGTTTGGGACATGACCTATTATGTGACTGCCAGGTTGGTGGAAGGCGAACCGGATGGACCTTGGTCTTCTTTCGCTTAGCAAATTCTTATGTTTTTATGTTCTTATATCCTCTCCCGCGCTAAGGTCCCTATACCCATCACCCCCATCCTCGTTGAGCACCAATGGTTCCCCATCCTCCAAAGGATCAACTTCAAGATCCTCATGCAAACCTTCAAATCATACCATGTCCTGGCCCTTTTCTATTTTCAATCTCCTCCTGCACTACACTCCTGCCCATTCCCTTCAGCTACAGACTGAACTGCAAACATTCCTTGCTCCACTCCCTCCCACTATTGGTGGCCGAACTTCCAATGACTTTGTTCTGAAACTAACGTACTTCTATCTAGAGAGGCTCTCACATAGCAACTACTGGTGTCTCACTCAAAAGAGTAAAAACTTAAATTTATGGACCTCATATGAAACATAAGGCTTTGTTATTATTGGAAAACATAAGATAATTTATTATAGAAACTGCATCTTATCACAGTACTTCTCAAGAATAAACATCTCAATTATCTGTTCCTTAGGACATTACACTCATAAATTATCCAGTTAACCAACAAAAATAAACCTTTTTCAAAAGTTCATTTTTAACATACATTTCTTCCTGTTAATGTGCTCAATGATGGCCAAGCCTTCAGCCACTATATGCTGCTGCTGGAATTCTCCTCCCAAACCGCTTTGCCTCACTCCCTCCCTGCCTTCAAAACCATTCCTAAAAACATTGGTCAACATTCTAAATTCTCCTTTTCCTGTCCCTCCGCCTTATTTGATATTTTAATCTTGCAGTGTTATCTTACCTATATCCAAGCATATAATACACACCCACGTGCCTACACGCTCACACAAACGCACACCCACTCGCAAACACTTACTTAAACATACCCAGTGTATTAATCATTCATGTTTGAATCTGAGGTTAATACTAAACAACAGCAAATTGCATTTTGTAGAGAGTGCGTGTTTACATTGGCTAAAGCTATTGTCATTATAACATTAATGTTTTCTTACCAGTTCCCCTTTCATTCCAATTGGACCCAGTGGTCCTTTGGGACCCTGTAACAATTATGAGACGGTGTCAAACATGTTTCAGTTGCAACTGTTTTGAGTAAAGTTGAATGAACACATCAAGAAGTATTGCACATTAATGGAAGATTAATGAAAACAATAAAAGCACAATTTATCAAGCAAAGGTGTGATACTTGAAGCAAAAATAAACAGTTTGTAAAGGGATTGATCAGTTATAGGGCATAAAGTGCAATGGTTCAGAACAGAATTGCAAAATATCAATTGTCTTATAGAATTTGTGATCAAACATTGCATTATACTTATAATCCTAATGACGAGTCGCAGATGTAGGCCCCCTCCTGACTTTGGCACAATCTGGCCGCTATCCTGGTAGCGGGCTCCTATTCTTGTTTGGATATTACAGCTGACGGCTGCAATGGGTACAAATTGAGTTAAACCAGGATTCTAGGAAGATGCAATGCAATGTGCAATCAGTGATCGAGAATCTTCAGACCCAAACCTTATGTCAAAGTAGTCAAGAGAGGGTGGGGTGAAGTGGAGGATCACATCACATTTTTTTACCCAGTATTATTTACATAGTCCTTTTCCTTATTAGAGAAATACATTTTAGCCATAAGAAGACATAAAAAAATATATTTGGTTGAAATATGTTAGATGTTTGCTACAGTATATACAGTCTTAATGGACAACTGCTATCCTTACAGCTCAACATTTATAAATGAACAATTAGAAGTTTTTTTTATTGAATTCATCTTTTTATTGAATTCATCTTTTTATTTTGCTATTTTATGCTATAAAATATTAAACACTACAGAAATTTACACTTGGGCTTGCATATTACTATATTATAATAATAAGCTTTGAATTTGATATAGCCCTGTAGATATAGTGTCTTCTAGACGTCTCAAAGCGCTTCACAGATTATACTGCAAAGTGAATTGACTGTATATTTTGTGGGAAAAACACATTATCACTACAGTATATTACTGCAGATAATTAGCATTAATTTACTTAATGTACAATTTCTAATGTGAAATAAGTTTGGACAGTTCAATCCAGATCCTGGTGGGCTTTTAATTCAGTACTCCATTAGTTTGTTACTCACAAAGCCCACAAAATAGTTAGTGTCGTAATGGGAAGCATCATGTTAGTGTAGGAATGGTTATTCTGCTGGGGTTTGGTTAGAATCGAGGAGGCTGTAACATAGTTCATTCTGACTGAGTTCCCAAAATAGGAAAATGAGCCATTTTCCAGCACTAATAAGAACAATCTTTATAGAGGTTATTTTTTTGTTAGTGCTTCACATAACATAGCACTTCACAGGGACTGTTTCGGATGCTGAGCAAGGGAAGAGGCAGTAAGCACGGTCAAATTGGTACTAACATCACTAAATATAGGAACACGAATATAATTTTGCAAGATATATTTAATTATAGTACTTATTATCTTTTTGTTTAACCTGACTTACAAAACAAATTGCTACAGATGTGCAGAAGCTGTAAAGTAAAACACAGTATGTTGCAAAATATACCTACTCTGTCACCTTGAATCCCTGGGATTCCGCAATCACCTTTGTCACCCTGCAGAAGGAAGTGAAGAGCTGAATAGTGAGTTTGTTCGGACATTGGTGAGGTGCAAATTTAGTAGGTCCCATGACAATGTCAATACTTGCATTTGCTACAGAGCCTTTCACAGGAGAACGTCTCACAGCGCTTCACCGAATTTACTGTAAAGCGTAATGACTGTGTCTTTTATAGGTGATTTTTATAAAGGCATCAAAAATCTAAAAGTTTCTTAAACAGTGCAGAGGGAAATGAAAGCACTGCAACAGGGCTGTACTATGACACTGTGTGTCTGTGTGTGTTTGCACGCGAGGGTGGTGGTGGGGGGGGTTATCTATGTTATCCTGATGCAATCCCTGCTCTCAATAAAGGACAAAGCCTAACAACGATGAAGTTTCACCCTAAGCTGGGGAGAAAGGGGAGGCACAGTCAAAGAGGAAAGTCTTCAGGTGCAATCTGATGATGTGAAAAAATATTCTAGGACATATTCATTTTGTTTTCCTGTCCATTTTTTTCCCGATTCAATATTTTGCTGAAACACTGAATGTCTGTAATTGATTGCAGTGTGCAGCAGAATAACCTCCTTCTTCAACAAATAATAGCCTCAGTAAAAGTTTCGAGTAACTCGCTTGACATTGGTCACCATAAGTAATCATGGTTAACCTTCAAAATGTTATTTTTCTCACAAACCCTCTCAACAGACAAGCAAGGTCAGTTTTCCAGCTATCTCTTGTTGATTATTCTAAAATGTGGGAGTTTGAGTTGTCGGATATTTTGTTGTTACAGCTGTCGATCTCAACACATTTTTCCACATTCTGATGTTCCATCTACAAAATATGCTGCAGGTGATTTTTACTTTACACCTTTTTTTGGTCAGCTGGGTGTCTGATACACGGAGAAACGTATCACTCTCCTTAAAAGTATCCAAACCAAACCAAATTCCATGCATCTCACCTTATACGTGGTAATCCCAGAGATGTTTATTGGAATGGAATGCGCGCTCCCTCCCTGGAGGGACCCATCCTAGTTACCTAATTCCGGAGAGTACCTTAAGATGTCTATCTGACTTGAATTTTAAAAATCTGCCAAATACTAGATATTTATATCTTTCATTACACAAGCGAAAAATGCCATTGACTGGCCACTGTGGGGCACTGAAGCTTCAGACAGGAAACCTGCCAAGCCATCAAAAGATAAAATCCTCCATTGTACAGGATTTAAACTTCAGCAATTTAACTCACGTATGTGTAAAAAAAATTAACTAAAGCCATTCAATTGTGACAAGCTTTCGAGTTAAGAATCTGTGGCATTATATAAATCACGATTACACAATTGCAATAATTGAGAGAGACGTTGTTACTGAAATCAACTACAGGAAATTTTAAGGTAAAAACTCAGAAAATACAAAGCAATAGCAGTCAAATTTTCCATTACCCCCATCTTATCAAAGGAAAATTCACACTGAATGCTTCGTTCTCCTTTGTGTGCTATACACAAGTGCTTTAACAAATTCACTCCTTTTTCTTTTACCTTTCCCCAGTTCAGTTAATGCCATGTAAAAGCACACATCACATCAACAATTTGCACATGATCCCATGAACAGGAAGAAATATTTATCCCGCAAATTCCACTGTCTTGTGTCATCCTATGAAGTATTTTAACACTATAGAGAGCTTGTCGAGACCTCTCCTAAGTATTTACTTCAGAGTGCTTTATTTTCAATGACATATTATAGGTTGAGTTATTGTGCAGGAGCTAGTTCTGGAGAGTGCTGACAAAGAGGAGAACACACTCCAAGCTTGTCCAAGCCGAGAGAACACTGGTGAGTTTACAGAAGCATCACTTGAGGGACCCCCAAGGTACACATTGGAATTTTGCCTACATGAAAACAGGAGAGTGGTTACTGTGATGAGAATCTATATGGATATTAGAATGGTGAAAATATTATTCAAGTCCTTAGCCTGAGGTCTTACCTTATCACCTTTGAAGCCAGATCTTCCCTGTTGAAAAAATAAAAATGTTTTATCTTACAGACCACATCTTGTGGGGGGGGGGGGGGGGGGGGCGCAGTGGGAGAAGACTTTGGTAACTCACAAATTGTCCTGACAACTGAATCCAGGCAAAAATGGTAACTCTTGCGTTTCTGAATTAAAATTTAATTGTATGTAAGCTTGAGCAGAAAATCTTGTGCCAGAGCAGAAGTAAGTAGTCAATGGTAATTTGTATTACAAAAATTAACAAACTTTATATTTATATTGTACTGCTGTAGAAAGAGATAAGAGAAACTTACAATGAATAAATACAAACAATTATAATGGATAAACCATTGGGGCTGCCAAAGTGCTTCAATGGTTTCCAATCTTTCAAGACTTTCTGGATTCAGTGCTTATACTGGAGGATGGAATGGTAAGCAAATTTGGCACCGTTATTCAAGATGTCAAGAAGGAAGTATCCAAGTCAATATAGGCCGGATGAGTTTAACATTAGTAGTGGGATAATTACTGGAATCCATTATCAAGGACAGAGTAACTGAGCACTTGAATAAGTATAAGATATAATTATCATGTAATTTAATTATCATTGGTATAAATTGACACATCACAGGTCAGAGTTTACAACCCATAGAGTGAAAAGCTGGGATCAAGCACCAAATTCCCTGGGAATTTCACTTGTTACTACCTAAAGAAGATCTCTTTTATCCCAACTCTCTATCGCCTATCATTCAACCAATTTACTACCCATGCCATCCAGTGAGAGACAGAACGGGAAGGTCATGTGTGACAAAGCTAATAGAGTTCTAACCTATAACTACTGAGATGATGGACAGTGGAGGATTGATGGCTGTCATGTATATGTATTTTGAAGGACTTTTAATAAAATTCCAAACAAGATATTCATTATTAAAATGAATGGGTATGAGACTGGTTACACCCTCATAGTATAGCTAGTAAACTGGTTGAAAGATAGAAGGCAGAGAGTTGGGATGAAAGAGACTTTCTTTGGGCAAGAAGAGGGAACAATTGACATTCCCAGGGATTGATGCTGGAGTCCAGCTTTTCACTCCAAATAGTGCTTATTGCAACCGGTTATCTGTCAATTTACATGAGTGATAATTACAACATTGTTGAAAAATGTGACCTTCATGCTCAGTCAATAACTGAAGACTCCCCCACTCCACTCCCAACTCCCTCACAATGGTTGCGTGTGAAGCCATTTGCAGCAATCATTGGACTCGCCAGTCCACACAATGTGGCTTTGGAGTGCTAGTTAATGGGATGCGGATTTTATTCTGATTATTTTGTGTCGAATTAAGATGGAACCAGCACTCCAACACTATAATCTGCCGGCTGACAAGTTCAGCAGCTTCTGCAGGTGGCTTTTTTGACCAACCATGTGACGGAATCAGGGTGGGTAAGAGTTGCAATGAGTAGGATAACTAATGGCATCAATCAGACTTTTTTTTTATTGTGCAATAATTATCGCATCCTATACTGCAATGTTCAACCTAAGAAATCTGAAAAAGAAATCAGACAAAATCAAACTTTTTTTGATAAATTGAAGTTTTAAGTACGATGACATGAATTAAATCAAAGGTAATCTCAAACTATCCTTGGAGCTGTTTGATAGATGCAGTGCAGGAGCAATGGGCTTTCAATACCTATGAGATAGCTCAGTGGGTAGAAATTATATTATTATTGTATGGGGATAAAAAGTATTTTTTNATCTCCCTTCCACTGTCTATCAATTTCCTTCAAGTCACCTGTATGGTTATTATTGGAAACTAGCATTTACTCAGTAGATGTAGAAATCAGAAGTGTACTCACGTTTTGCCCATCATTTCCAGGCTCTCCCTTAGAACCATTGTTGCCCTATTGAGATAGAATCCAAAATAATGGCTTAGCATATTTACATAGCTTTTAATAAGTTTTGAAATTCAAAAATATTACCTATCACATTAATATCACACTAAGTATCTTGACAATGCATTAAGTGTATAAAGCAGCTAAGTTCAGAGGCATATCTTGTGGATGATGATAAGGAAACCGTTAAATCTTTTTGACAGAGTTGAGGATCTGTTGAACTGGAGGGGATAAAATTGACTCATAGTAGTGGAAAGGAAACGGAGGGAGTTCTTTTGCCAAGATGAGAATTCAATGAGAATGGGAAGTCAAAGAGTTTAGCTTTCTCTTTAGGAGCACTAACATGGAAAAAAAGAACTTGCATTTTTATAATGCCTTATCATGTTAACGTTACTTCACTAGTATTTACTCTCACTGTAAAACTGTTTTTGTAGGTAAACATGGGAGCCATTTCTACTAGCGAATACCCACAAAGAGTCATACAACAACAACAACAAAATTACATTTGTAAAACACCTTTCACATCAGGAGGATGTCCCAAGGCCTGGATAGACAGAGTTTCAGACCTGAGCTGGGGGTCGGGGAATGTGAAGGGCGGGGGGCAAGCAGGGAGATCGAAAACAAGGTTGAAGATTAGGGTCTTGAGATGGGTCTTGAAGGAGGCAAGGGAGGAGATGAGGTGGAGGGACTGTGGACCTGGAGTTCCAGAGGGTGGGGGCAAAGTGTCAGAAGGGGTGAGCGAGGCAAGGGACGGGAAGCAGGTCAGAACCCGCTGAGCGGAGGGAGCGGACAGGTTGGTAGGGGGTTAGGGGATCGCAGAGATAGGGGGGAGTAAGATCATGGAAGGCTTTGAAGGTGAGAACCAGGATCTTGAACTGTATCCTCTGTGTGATGGGAAGCCAGTGGAGTCGGGCGAGGATGGCGGTGATAGGATCATTAGTTCATCTGAATGATTGATAGCCAAGACATCGGGAGAAACTCCCTTCTATTTTTAAACAGCATCATGGAATCTCCCACTGACCTACTTAGCCAAAACAATCCCACAGTCCTGTCAAAGAGCAATAATGTTCTAATATGAGTCTGCTAAATCCACAGTGTGTGTGTGTGCGGTGTATTTTATGTTTTCTAGAGAACAAGACTTAAGAAACCTCAATAAAGTTGATGTATTAATTAACCAATCAAATCTATTAGGAAACAATTTCCACCCCAATATAACGTAAAAATCATGACATTGGTTTAACGGGAATTCTGTCTACACTTAAAGAACAATCCCCAAATAAAGACACTTTTTTTGATTTTTTTTGTTTAACACATGTGCCACTTATGTATCCTTCCAATAGGATCTAACTGGTTACTCTTCAAATGTCTAAATAACCAATTCCTTACTTTACTTGATTCCTTGATAAGTATAATTTTATTAATCTGAATAAAATCATACCAATGTTGCCAGGTGTTACACTTTACAAAAATATTATCACTTAAAGTGCAACCATTGCAGACAAGGTCACCTGCTGGAATGTAAGGGTGGTGAGCACCTCCCAATAATGAATGCGGTCACGTTTCGACCCATTGCATTCCAAGCAGAAGCAGTAATCCCACTGAACTGAAACCATCATACTTTGATAGTCTGCTGTTGGCATTGATAAATGATCTTAGCCCTGAAAAGCAATTAAAACTGTTACAGGATTCAATTCCCTTAGAAGGATGGCTTAATGATCGCATTTATAAAAAAGCATTTGTGGGGCACATATTAGCTGTGTTTGGACAACTAGCCTTAGTCTCCCTGAAGGCACCAACTCAAGTATCTGTAGATTAATTTAATCTTGACAAATTTTCTAGTGTCATGTTTTATATGCCCATATTATGAACACTAATTAGAGAAGAATTATTTGAGAAGTTAAGAGGTAAGCACAACTGCATCTAAATCTGATTCCGAATTCCACTTGTTTCAAAATTCCTGTAGTTTTGAATAATTTCATATTAGTATGTATGGAGATAAATAACAATAATGAACTGAGGACAGTTCAATGTATTACAAGATGGCCATATTACAATATAGAACTGTAAGCTATAGAGGGAGCATTAGGCTTTTGGACCATTACAGTAAGTTTTGCTAATTTTCACTGATGAATGGCAGAATTAAGCAATTTATTTTCTCTGTGGTGGGCAAATAACACTTTATGGGAATGCACTTACTCCTCATTGTGAATCTAGTTGTACTCAGGTGTGGATTACAAGCAGTGTTTTGAATGTCTATATAACCTCATATACATAAAACACAAATTACATTTACATTCACATCAGGAGGATGTCTCAAAGTGCTTCACTTTGAAATATTTCACTTTAATTTTGAAATACCTTTTTCAAAGTACATCAGACATGATGGGCCAAATGACCTGGTTGTGTGCTATGAATTTGTTTGGTTCTATGAAAGAATCACAAAAGCAAACAGCTGAAAAGCAGCAACAGCAACATCATGTAACTATGACATGGTGTAAACTCTCGACTGTCCAGTGCCTTGTGACATCCTCCTGACGTGAAAGCACTATATAAATGCAATTTGTTGTTCTTGGTGATATAACTCAATGACTGACTTCACAAGGACAAATCCAATAATTAACCCTTTAAAGACTCATTGTAATTTAGCCCTTGAATGAGAAAATATGGGGATGGGAATATTTTTCTACGCAAAGGGCTTCCCTATCTCGCTTTAAAAAAATCACTATTTCTTAGCAGCACGTGTTTTCCCGTCAGCGGAGATTTAATATTTTTACAGCAAGTGCTCCCTTAAGCATCACCTCTCCTTATGTGAACCTGCAAGTCAGAAGTAATGTAAATTGAGTAAAATAGCTTTTCTGTACCCTTCCTCCTTTTGAACCTTTTTCACCATCCCTTCCGCGTTCACCATCTTCTCCCTAGAAAGTTACATTTAAATGTTAATACATTGCACCTTAACTTTTACTGAACAAAGTATTGTACATTTGCAACAATGAAACAAGATGTGCACAATATATGGCTCTGCGTGTTAAAAAAAAGTATCCTGTTTTTCTAGGGGTAAACAGGTCAATGTTTGCCAATAGAGAAAAAAAAGTTTGAATCTCAAGAATATTTTCCCAGCAGAACTCCTGGTGTGACTGTTGCTATATATATACATATGTGTGTTTGTGTATATACACAGGGTGACCAAAATATCATGATACCATTACAGTGTCTAATAAGTCTTAAAGAAATTATGATTTTTTTTAGATAAAAGGGTAGTTATCACAGCTTTTTGGGTCACCCTGTATATATATAAGAAACTACATCAACTGATATACAAATGATATTTGTACAGAGCTTCCTGAATTTTGTCTAAATCGTGAAACATTTCAGTTTTAAATCAAATGCTCTGTTTACATATTGACAGTAAACGTTTGGAAAAGATGTATGTCATTTTGCACAGCATTTGATGACAATGAGCACAGCCATATGATCCTAGCCAATAAATACAATGTAAACAAGCACTTTATTCAGCCATAGACTCGATCGGCCACAGAGCTTCCTCCTGTGTTGTCTAGAATTCATGATTCCCAGAAGTGTCCCACTGTTTGTTTGGCATTGGCTGCAGCATTTCCGAAACACTTCAGGAAACAGCTTGAAGCTGTAGTCTGGGAATTACAGTACTTAATAGGGGTTATTTTAAGTGTGAGGGTGCTTCAATATTCCACAATATATTATGTAAACTCTTTTTCAATGTCCTCCTGCAGATTGTGACTGACTGATATCTTGAATAGCTCCTCCATGGGATGATGGTATTCATTTCACTGAAGCTACTCCCCAATGAGTCAGTTGGTGCAGTGACTTATATCTGAACCACACTGGGTGTGTTAGGCACAAGCAACACATTGTATAGGGCCCCGAGGCAGTGAGGGGGCTCCTGCCATCATGACTCAGTTACTTGATGGTTCACAAGCTCTGGACCGGGCTCCATGCCACTTGTACAACCCATTGAAATCGCCTCCCAGCCAGCCTAAGCTGCTGGAGGCTGGTTGTGGGGAGTGGGGCACTTAGCCGGATGCCCTCCTCGCTGCAGCCAATCCACAGCTGCTCCAGGCCCACACCAGCCACCCTCCAGCCGATAGCCGCGCTGCCAGGTAGGACATGTACCCACTAAGTTTGACTGCCCGGGGAATCACTGCCAGTTTCCTGGCACCTGAGGAGCTTGAGCTGCGTCCCAAGCAGCCAAACGCAACACTGGTAGTGATCAAACTTTGCATGTGGCCCCCATGGGACAACCCCCATTGGGGCCCCTGCTGAACCTTACAGACAGGGAAACTGAGTTCTCATACCTGGCTTTGCTGAGCGAGCTGAATACACTCGATGGAGAAGACTGAAGGTCAAGAGGACACACCTTAATAGTAGTGAATTTCAGGATAGACGTCAGGAAAGACTTCTTTACACAAAGGGTATTTCTAAATCTGTAAATTAAACTGATAACTCTGTTCACCTATCAGAGATATTGAAAGGGCCACATTTGCTGTATTGTTTCACCATTATGCTTGTTATACACATGATACGAATGACACTCACTTCTGATATAACGTTTTATAGTGAAACATTTCCAAAGCACTTCACACAATCTGTCCCCTTGTGATTGTTGCAATACAGGCAAATGCGACATCTAATCTGCCCCTGCAGCACCTGCTAATCTGCTTTTCGCTGAATTTGGATGAGAGACAGGAATATTAGCCAGGACACATTAGAATCTCCCTGCTCTGCTTCAAAATAGCACCATGGGATTGTTAAAATGCACCTGACTCATCAGAAGAGGCAGACAATATTGCACGTGCAGTGGACACATGTTGCAATACTAAATGAAATTACTGATTCATTACAGATATACAGAGATTTTATTTTTGTTAAATTATTAAATAACCCATCCTGACTTGTGTTAGTTGCAATAGGATAATTTTTNCCTCCATAAATATGTTCTACTTGCATTTGTCCTCAGGTTGTGCATTCATAAAAATGAACTGAAATGCTACCCAGAGGCTTTGTGGCAAATACTATGATAGACACACTAACGTAGAGGAAAATCTTAGTACATGACCTCTCCACATACATGAGAAATCCGTTATAACTACACATTAATCGTTTCAGAGTAACGTTAATGGGCACCCACATGGGGGTAGAAACACCAGCTGGGTCTAGATTTACTAGCATTTTAGAGTGTGTAGGATTAGGCAAATTATTGAATTCAGTCTTAGATATGAAGTCGGTTTTACTGTAGTTCTTAAAAGGAACTTACAGAAAACTGGCTTAAAAATGATGGTTATATTTAAAAATGTTACAAATTCTGAATGCACTAAAATATTAACTAAATATGAGTAAATCTAGACCCAGATAGGATTTCGCCCCAGTAGCTCCTTGGCAGTAGCTGTTTTGTCCCAGGAATCCTTGAGAATTGAGAGCAAAAGGGCTAAAAGGGCTCCCAGCAGGAAATCTATGTGCAATCTTAAGGCTGAACTGTTTGGAACACAGGATGGACATCTTCCCTGGGGATATAAACAACCATCAAATTTAATTGCTTTTTTAAAAATGTATTTTTTGGGGTTAAATCTTGCATTCATCAAAGGGTGGGAAAAGAATGCTAAGGAGCAGATTAAGAGCGACTTAGGTATTATAGTATTTATATATACCATTGAAATGCCTCAAAGCACTTCACAGAAATTATATACAATTGTTGTATATAATTTCTGTGAAATAATTTCTGTGAAGTGCTTCAAGGCAACCGTTTTGCATACAGCACAGCCCTCAAACAGCCATAAAAAATAACCTAATAATAAATCCTTACATTTGATATCGCATCTTATCACATTGTTGAAATATCTCAAAGCGAATCATAGGTTTTTACTGTGAAACGTGGTGACTGTGCACTTTGTAGGTGAACGCAACAGCCAATTTGTACATAGTAAAGACCCACAAAGAGCCATGAATTTAATGACCAATTTTATCTGAGGGAGTATTGTCCAGAACCTTTCCTCTGTTTTGAACATGCACATGATCAGCCATGAAATGAATGAGGATACCAGGATATCCATTTTTGAACAGTTTTGAGGGATTTTTAATATTCACCTGACTGGCAGATGGGACCTCGATTTAACATCTGATTTGCACTTTTACATTACAGCATTGCCCAAGTACTGCATTGGAGTGTCAGCCTAAACTATCAACTCTCAAGTCCCAAGTCCCAAACTCTGGGAACTACCATTATTTAGACATCATGGTGGGAGATATTTCAAAATAAATTTTAGCCTTGTTCCTTAATTGAGGAACAGAATCTGTCGAAAAATTCTACAATTTTGACCCCAAGATCATTTAGGTCTTCTGTTATAAAAGCACAACAAAGACATTTTTGTTTGATTTTGACTTCAGTGATCAAGACCTCCACTAAGCTACAATTCTAGGCTCTTGTCCCTCAACAAAGCTTATTTTATACTTAATTAGAAGTAGTGGTTTAATACTCCAAGTATTTCAAATCTAACCAGCTCTGCCAGATTTCAAACAGTGAGCAAGCCAAACATTTGTGTAACTTGCCAATACAGCTAAATTGTTTGATAATGTGACCATCATTATGAAGTTATTTTCTGGCTTTGTAAATCTCCGAGTTTCCACTGTTAATTCAAAGCTTAATATCAATGGAAAGATATGCATTTTATTACTTATTGACAATAGAGTGTTTCACTATGTTTGTTGGAAATCGATTCTTATTGCAGAAATGCCGCCACAGAGGAGCAAATAAAACTGCTTGCAGTGTTTATTAACTAAACTAGGGAATAACAACCAATGCCAACCGATTCACACAATTGCTTTGACTTCATGGTCTTTCTTCTCCTGGGCCGCACATTTTCCCTTTAATTTACCTGCCACATTATAGCAAGTTTTCTGAAAATTTCCTGGGTGGGTGTACCAGTGTTAAGACAGCTGGATAAAGTATGGAAGTGTTAGATTATAGAAGTTGTAGCCTAATAATAATGAACAATGAATAATGGGCTGTGTTGTCAGCTTCACCCACTCGAGGTGGGGACTGGACCTTTCGCAAACCCAAAATTCTGGTTTGTCTTAAGCTGTCCAAATAGGATATCGCGAAGACTCCTGACTTGTTTGGCTGGAATAGAACTGATTCTATGGACTCCCAGGACATTGGTAACATCAATACATTAAGGTTTCCAAGAACAAAAGGAGTATACCAACCTTGAAGGATGTTTTTAACCCTACAATGAATGGTAAAAATAAGCTGTTGAAATGTCTCACTGTTGACTTGGCGACATGACTAAGAAGATCTAAGTTTGGGAACAAAGAAAACAAGTCTAACCGATCTTAAGAAGGGATATTCTACAATCAACATTGATCGAACCACGTTATCAAGTTGATTCCTAATCACAGCCACTGTATCAATCTGATTAATTAATTGCACTGAGCTTTATTACTCATGTCATACGCTTTTGTGCTTGCCAAAGCCATAATTTTATTTAGAATGATTGTGTCTTTATGTTTTTTTTTGCTTTATTGGTCTTGGTGTATTTGTGAGATCTCGTTATTATAATTATTTCGGTCTCAAGGTGGGGATTGTTAGATTATAGAAGTTGTAGTCTAATAATAATGAACATTAAACAAATGTAGAATGGAGAAAGTACTGACAGTCAGGGGATACGACACATCTGGTTTTCTCTGCTTTTGAAAGAATAACAAGACAGCTTTGGAAAAAGGCAGCGGATCACCTCTTATCAGTAAATGACAACAAGCCCACAGAGGTAACGGTCCAAGGTACCGGTCGACACAGGATCTCGAGTAAGCAATAGGTCGCTAGATTCTAACAGGGCTGCCAAGCAACAAAAGGCAACCCTCAAGAATAGCAATTAATGAGCAAGTTGCTTAAACTAGAGGACCTTGGTACCATCCCAGGATACTGATAAGAAATAACCAGTCACTTAAAAGTAATGTACTAATGATCCCACATAACAAAATAACAAGCACCAAATACAGCCCTAAACTGATCAATCTCCTATCTTAGACAAGACAAAGGGAAGACCTCGTGGAGAATCAGTCAGGCTGGCACCAAGCCAAGTGGCGTTGACGGTTGACTGCTGAAATAAACACGCTTCAATGGTATTTTTGTTTGAATAAACTTGGCTAAACAGATTTTACCTGAACAGAATGCTGGGTGACCTTTTTGATATCTAACAGAAGCAATTGAACAGCATGAGCAGAAATAGAGAAAAAATCCATTCATTCCTTCTTGAGCAAGTGGAATCCAATAACAATTTCCTGAAACCAATAAACTCATACATAAAAAGGTTTGATAATACTTACAGGCTGTCCATCTTCGCCTTTTTTCCCTTTTTCACAGAAACATGGTGAGGGCCTGAGACACTATTTAGAGATTAAAAACAAACAGTAGATTTATTACAAAGCAAGAAGGCTTCAACCTTCAGACTTGAATTACAGAAAGGTCTGGTGCAGAATAAATTACTAAAATGGTATTACACAAAAAGAAGCAATCACTTGAAGATAAATGAAAAGTAAAACTGATCTGGACTCACCGATTTATCAGCAACTTTGAGCTGAGGAAGAAAAGAAATAGGACTTTAATCCTTGCATTTTGATATAGCTTTAGTGGCTTTAGTGGTACATAATGTTTCAAATCTTGTACTTGCTTAGTGCTTCATCATTACAAATATGTTTGGTATTTTTATATTATTAATTCTAAGTATGTTTGGATAATCTGTGAATGGTGAGGGTTTTGTTAATTATTTGAGGATTTAGCAGTCATCCTCCCACTGTGCTTTGACAAGTGAAAAGTATCAACACATATTGTGGCTCCCAGTGCAGATGTAAAGCAGAAGAGGGAATTCAGCAGTCACTGATTCAAAAGGAATCACTGCCAAATCTGATGGTGCACATGCAAATTACATAGAGGGAATATGTAATTCATCAGCAAGGTCATTTACCCCTGTTATTTTAACAATGTTTGTTCCACATGTTTCGTTCCTGGCCTTCAGCTACTGTGCCCATAATAGAAAACCAGCTAAGAAATTGGTTTATCACAGAGCAAAGATAATAATAATAATAATCCTTGCATTTGATACAGTGCCTTATCACGTCTTCGAGATGTCTAAAAGCGCTTCACAGAATATACCATAATGTGAATAGACTGTATAATATTGTGGGTGAAACACGGCAGCCAATTGCGCAGAGCAGTGTCCCACAAACAGTTGTGGACTGAAGTGACCAATTTATTTTATTTTTTTGAAGGGATTATTACCCAGCTAAGAAGAGATTATTACCCTCAGAAAAGCGATCTGCCAATCGACTATCAACCGGGTTCCTCGTTACTGCTAGGTAAACAGAGGCGTGTGGAGTGAGGAAACTTGCCCAACATTTTGCCCTGCCAGGAATCGAACCCAGGTCACATAGGGCACTCTGTTCCATTTGCTAAAGGTAGCTAATCTTTTGAAATCCCACTGTTGAGTGCACATCAATAGATATGGTTACATTTGGTGATTGAACATAATTGTTTTTTACTTTTTGCTACCAGAGTTCATGCCCAAAACTCTTCCGTGCATTTGGCCAATTTAGATTGAAAGCATTCACCCTACACTGACCCTCTCCTATAAGAGTGTTCTTTGATCCTATAACAAGATACTCTACATTCCATTCTAAATGATTAATTGAAAACAAATGTAACCGGTGTGTATAACTCAAAAGTAAACACATTTATGTACTCTCTGTGACCAAAAAGTAGTTGTTTTTAGTGCCAAAGGAATGCGCTTAAAAGTATCAGTAAATGGTATCCTATTCTGATATTTTGGATTGAGATAATACAATATGAAATAAAACTGAAGCCGAGTGGTGAAGGCAAGATTTTTTGTTCTTGTGACTCTTGTCACAAGATTTTATGTTCTTGTCACAGTGCAACTTCTGAAAGTGCAGGTTGCTAAGGAAAGAGGAAACAAAACTAGTCTTAATTTGGTATTGACTCTTAAAATGTTGAAGGAAAAATGGAAGAGAGCTAAGGCATGAGGAAGCGCATTTAGGACATCATATTTGGAGATTAAGGAGAATAAGAGAGGAAAGCTCTTAGAATAATAGTAATAACAGAGGGAGATGATGGAGGGTAAAAGTGTGAGAGGGGTCACCTAAAAGATGTTAACAGATCAGCACCTTGGGATGTCCTCCTGACGTGAAAGGCGCTATCCAAAAGTAATTTTGTATTGTCATTTTGTATTGTACACATTTTCTTGAGTATTGTCAACAGTGAGAATGAGATACTCAAAAAGCTAGCTCCAGGGTGGGGTGAAGTTGGACTGTGTTGGGCTTGTTGAGTAGAAAAGCAGAGTTTGACAAGAAAGTGAAAGCCGAGTTTCTTGGAAACAGCTTTAATTAAAAATAATCCTTACATTTGATAATAGCACTTTATCATGTTGTTGAGTTGTCTCGAAGAGAATTACAATATATACCATAAAGTGTAGTGATTTTGTATTTGTACGTGAATATGGAAATTTGCACACACAAAAAGTATAGCAATAGAACTAGAGGAGATGTGAGTGTTTTATTTGATATGAGAATAGATAGTGAAGCTAATTGAGGCTAATTATGTCAATAGATGCAAAGAGTGGATTCTCAAGTAAGACTTGTAAACCTCTCCAAATTTAACATAACATAACATGTAGGAGCAGGAGTAGGCCATTCGGCCCTTCGAGCCTGCTCCGCCATTCAATCACGGCTGATCTTCTAATCTAACTCCAGCTAATAACCTGACCCTGCCTTATCCCTATATCCCTTAATCCCTTTTGCAATAAGAAATCTATCTCAGTCTTGAATATGTTCAAGGACTGAGCGTCAACAGCCCTTTGGGGTAGTGAGTTCCATACATTCATCACCCTTTGAGTGAAGAAGTTCTTCCTCAACTCAGTGCGAAAGCATTCCTTTGGCCTCTGATTTTAAGGTTGTGACCCCTGGTTTTAGTTTCTCCAACCAGGGGAAACAATCTCCCACTATCTACTCTATCATACCCTTTGATGATCTTATAGGTTTCTATAAGATCCCCTCTAATTCTTCTATATTCTAGAGAATATAGGCCCAAATTGGTCAGCCTATCCTCGTAACTCAACCCCTTCATCCCTGGTACTAACCTAGTAAATCTACGCTGCACCCCCTCCAAGGCAAGTACATCCTTCCTTAAATGAGGAGACCAAAACTGGACACAGTATTCCAGGTGTGGTCTCACCAGGGCCCTATACAGTTGCAGCAAGACTTCCCTACTCTTATACTCTAATCCTTTCATAATGAATGCTAACACACCGTTCGCCTTCCTAATTGCTGCTGTACCTGCAGACTAACTTTCTGTGATTGGTGTACAAGGACACCCAAGTCCCTCTGTACGCTAACACATTCCAATCTCTCCCCTTCTAAAAAATAACCCACTGTACTGTTTTTGCTCCCTCGGTGGATGACTTTGCACTTCCCTACATTATACTTCATCTGCCACCTACCTGCCCAATCACCTAACCTATCTACGTTTCGCTGCATTTTTTAATGTCATCTTCTGTGTTGACACTTCCTCCTAGTTTTGTGTCATCCGCGAATTTAGGTAAATTAACTTTGATGTCCTCATCTAGATCGTTGATGTAGATGGTAAATAGCTGAGGCCCAAGGACTGATCCTTGTGGCACTCCACTAGTCCCATCCCGACAATCTGAAAAGGACCCCTTTATCCCTATTCTTTATTTCTTACCCGTTAACCATTCCCCAATCCACGTTAATATGCTCCCCCCAATTCCGTGGGCCCTTAACTTTTGGACTAACCTTTTATGCGGCACCTTATCGAATGCCTTCTGGAAGTCCAAATAGACCACATCCACTGATTCACTCTTATCTAGTTTACTGGAAATATCCTCAAAAAACTCTATGAGATTTGTCAAACATGACTTCCCTTTTGTAAAGCCATGTTGACTTGGCCTAATTATATTGTGCTCCCCTGAATACTGCACTACCATATCCTTAGTCAACGATTCTAAAATTTTTCCCATCACTGATGTGAGACTAACTGGCCTATAGTTCCCCATCTTTTTCTTTCCAACTTTTTAAAATAGTGGTGTGACATTTGCGATCTTCCAATCCATGGGGACTGTTCCAGAATCCAAGGAATTTTGGAAGATCAGACATAAGGCCTCCACTATCTCATAAGCTACCTCTTTTAAAACCCTGGGATGCAAGCCATCCGGACCAGGGGATTTGTCACTTTTTAGTGCTAACAGTTTCCCTAGCACCAATTCTCTACTAATGAAAATTTCCCTAAGTTGCTCCCTATCCTTATCCCTTTGGTGCATCTCTATTGTTGACAGACTTGTTGTGTCTTCTAGGGTGAAGACAGATGCAAAGTACCCATTTTGGGGTTCTGTCATTGTCCCCCATTACAACTTCTCCTGTCTCTGACTGAAGTGGACCTACATTTACCCTCACTAGCCTATTCCTCTTAATATATTTGCAAAAACTTTTACAATCAGACTTAATGTTCCTAGCTAGCTTACCCTCACACTCCTTTTTCTCGCTCCTAATGAGTTTTTTAGTTTTATTTTGCTGGTTTCTAAAACTCTCCCAATCTTCAAATTTGCTGCTTTTCTTGGCAGTTTTATAAGCCTTTTCTTTTAATTTGATGATTTCCCTAACTGCTCTAGTCAGCCACGAATGAATTGCTTTCCCTGTGGTACTCTTATTCCGCAAGGGAATATGCGACCGCTGAGAATTATGCACTACATCCTTAAATATTTGCCACTGTTGGTCAACATTTTTACCTCTTAATCTTATTCTCCAGTCTATTTTACCTAAATCTTTCCTCATACCTACAAAATTAGCACTATTTAAATTCAGAATACTTGCCTCGGATTTAACTATATCTCTGACTAACTTAATGCAGAATTCAGAATTCAATCATATTGTGGCTTAATGCAGAATTCAATCATATTAACCTAGCTCCCCTCTATTTCTGTCCCTTCAGCCAAATCTGAATCCATATCCAATTTGTGCTTAATACTCAGTAATCACAGTTTGTGAAAGAGTCTTTCAAGTCTCGATATACTACATCATATTGGCTTCCCACAGTGAATCTGTGCTGTCATTCTTCAAAATCCTTTCTGAATCCATGTTGCCTGTCATTTATTAGATTATTTTTACACAAGAAATTTTCCATTTCCTTTTTGATGATTGACTCCACAATTTGTCTCCTTGTGGGCAAGTGTTTGGTACCCATTGAATACCACAGTAGTGCATGTAAGAGAGCTCTTTTTTTTCAAGCAAAAATTGTGTTAATTTTAAAGAACTCCAATAAAACTGTATTTTAATACTAACAATTTCTGATTAATCTTAAGTAACAGAAAACACATGACAGCATCTTGGAGTTTATTACACAGGGCTACCAGTGCAAAGTGCCTCAAAATTTGATTGATCCAATTAAAATAACTAAAGGAAGTGACAGGTTAGATTGTGGACAACACTTCCCTTTAATTTGGAAGCTAATTTTTCACATTACTGAAACAAAATTAAGGAAAATTAGCTTCTAGATTAAGACTGAATCGTAAGAATTCCCAAATTCCAAATGATCTTAAATCTTAAAAACAGTGGATTTAAGTCTAAAATTTTGAGAACTCTTAAGCCCCAAACTGCTCAATCACCAGTGAAGGCAATTATACTTTAGATGTAAATTAATAACAGGCATTATGGACTCTAATTCTTGTAGTCTAGTTCCAATGAAAACACAAACAGTCCAGTAAATTTTGCCTTTTACTTACCACTTCATTGACCATTGTTTCTGTGAGGTTAAAATCTGTCAGCAGGTGGACAAACTGGGTGCTAGGGATGCTTGCGACATTTTGCATTTTAATGGCATTAGGTGCCTCCTTAGCCACGTGTGAAAGCCCAATAGCAAATATATGAATGTTATTCTTCTTTGCTTGGAATGCAGCGTCCACAGTGTCCGGATTGCGAGGATGGTCCACTCCATCTGTCATTAAAATGAGTATCTTCACACTATTCTGCCTGCCCTCTGTCTGAAAGAGCTCAGTTGCATTTCCTATTGCATAGGCAGTGTATGTGCCATGCCCTATGAACATCATAGAATTCACAAGTTTCTTGAAATGTTTGAGCCCCTGCCACTCTCGGAAAGTTTGGTCCATCTTGATATAGCTGCTGTACTGTAGAACAGCTAATCTCCAGTTCAGTGACCATTTGGTCTTTTGTTCAGAGTTCAAAGCTTTCTCTGAGAAATCAATCACCAATTGTTTTTCTTTGTCGAACAAGATATTTTTAGCACTTTCGGAGCTGTCCAGGATGAAAATGACTTCCATCGTACAATTGGGATCTGTTAACGACAATAATTTATAATGAGTATGAGCTACCATTTTAAAAATAACATTTATTTTTGAGGACTAAAATATATCAAGATCTTCTGAAACATACAGATACGTAGAATGTCTCCTATGTTCTTTTGATGCTGATTTTGTTTATATATCTCTAACCGAGGAATGAATCCCAGTTCAAAGCTTTGAATTTCCTGCAGAAGCCCATTTACAGTAGAATACAATACAAATTGTGCCTTTCAGATTGGGAGGATGACCCAAGGCACCTTAAAATTCCGCCTCAGCACCTGAGTTGGTGATCACAGCCGAGGAAGGCAGGAAAGCGAAAGACGACTGAAAGTCCGGTCAAAGAGGTAGGTCTTGAATTGGACTTTGAATAAGTGAGGAAGGGAATGTGTCAGAGGGACTCCTGAATGTAGTTCCAGAGAGCAGGGACAGCCTTTTTTTTTAACCTGAGATGAGTATTCTTAGTTTGTAAACTTTGGACTCCAGATTAAGTTGGTTTGTTTGTTAAATATTATACTTACTTCTCAACATTGATCTGCCACAAAGGGTCAAAATCTGTGCTCAAAATCAGCCTAAAAGATTGGTGCAAAATAATGCTACAAATTTATCCCAGCAATTGTCCAAGAGTGATTTAAACTGCAGTAAGGAGCATGGATATGACATACTACCTATTTAATCTGAAGGTCAAATGCTTTTCAGCAAAGACTGTGTTGCAAATCTATGCTACAGCATACACAATATCATCTATCACTGAGACTTCCAAAATGACCACTCCCTAATATGCATTAAACTTCTTTATAATATTATAGTGTTGTTAACTTTGTTCAAATGCCTTAATTCCCTGGCACCTCCCTACCTCTTCGACCTCCTCACTCCCCAATCCACCACCCAGCACCTCCGCTTGACTGGCACCGGCCTCCTGCTCGTCCCTCACAACCTCCACCCCACCATCGGAAGTCATGCTTTCAGCCACTACCCCCCAAAGCTCTGGAACACTCTCCCTCAATCCCTCTACCTTGCTGCCCTCTCCCCTCTTTCAAGTTGCGCCTGAAAACTTTCCTCTTCGATCATGCCTATGGCCACCTCCCACTCCCCCCGGCTCGGAGTCAGGCTCCGCCACTGTTAAGCTCTCTGGGACACTACCCTGCGTGGAGGGCGCTCTATAAGTGCAGGTTGTTGAATCTAGGTTCTTGATGTTAACAACAACAATTTCATGACTGACATCAGAATCGTGACCTTGAGCGGACAAATGTTATTGATGTAATTTTGTCTGAGAAACTATTAAAACAGGCAAGCTCAAACAGGCCGACGGAGAGATGTACCCACATAAAAAACATCAATCTTCTACCACCAGGTAAGAATGTCAGTATCAAAACTCCTTAAAATCTGTGCTCCGACATTTAGGAAATAATGATCCAAATGTCTTTTTTTCAGTAATATTGATTAAAAAGTGGCACTCAAATTTTGCCTAGGGTCTATCTAGTTCATCGTCACCACAAAAATATCTATGCCCTTTACATAGTTTCAGTCCCCTTTCTTCTTAAAATTTAAAATCTTGCAAAATTACGGAAAATTCTTAATTTTTGTCTTAATTAGGAAGATTTTGTAAAAGTTTTATCTCCATAATTCTGCACAATCTTAAATGTTAAGATGATAATCCTTAGGCTAAGATCAAGACAAATGTCATTCTCCTGGTTTCCCACTTAGATTCATAGTAAATTTGCAGCAAGTCATCCTCCTCCTAATGTCAGCTTAGAGTAGCTTCCCCACTGGAGTTCATTATTGTAATTCAATTTCCTTGCTCTTTCCCCTTACTCTATAATATTATTTTTCCTCAATTATTTATCCAGTTCTGCTTTCAATGCTGTTATAGGCTCAGCCTCACAGCCATTGTGGTAAAGCATTTCAACAACCTTCTGTGTTAAACCGACTTACAACTTAGTCTTGTTTTGTCAGTGAGACAATCCTGAAATTTGTATTATTTGCCCTCTTAAAATCTCACCCTCAAAGTCACTATTTTCTCAAATTACAACTGTATCTTTAGTTTAAACTGACTTTTTTTCCCAACATCTTTGGATGCTGGCACAAGATATTCACTCACCCCTCTCATCATTTTCTGTTCAAGTTCGTTTGTTCCATCTTCTAACTCATCTACAGCGCTAAGAAACACTACCCAGCGTGAAGGACACTGTATAAATGCAAGTTGTTGTTGCAGTAAGCAATGTCAGCCTAGTTAATCAGCAATAAAATACAATGCAACTGCAATCATGTCTTGCTTCCTGTACCTTTTCATTCTCTTCAACTTCATTCTACCTTCAAAACTGCTCCAATTCCACTAACCTCCAAGATTGTTTGCTCAGGCTCAATAAACAGTGCTGTGAAAACTCAGTGTTTTGATTGACCTAAGTTTTAATCCAGTTTTTCATAGGAAAGTCTAAAGTGACCAAGCAAGCTATGTACATATAAGCATGTAAACCCAACAGGGATAAGTCACCTGAGTCTAGAGGTCTATGCTCATATTCTGAATATAATATTCCGAATGATTATTTGTGACGGTAGTTTGGTTCAGTTGGTAGCACTGTTCCCTCTAGGTCAGAAAGTTATGGGTGCACATCCTAGATCAAGACTTGATCTCATAGTCCAGGCTGACAACAGACCCCTGCTGGAGGAGCTTTATATTGTTCTAAGTGCGATGCTTTGGATGACATGCTATAGGCACTATATCAAATGTGAGTGTTTTTATTATTATACAGCACAATATCTAATACAGCACCTGCCTTTTTAGCATGCTTAATGATGTTATGTGCTTGTATTGCTTCATCTAATTTGACATATGTTAGTTGTATCTGTAAAATAGCAATAACCTTCATTCAGATAATCAATGTCAGAACAATAAATAATAATAAACTACTTTCTTATCTAGAAAGTAATAGTGAATAACAACAATAATTTACATTTTTTATATTCCTTTCATATTGGGACGATGCCACAGAGTGCCTCACACAGCTGACTGGAAGCCTGAGCTGGCAGGGGAGGAGAAAGGTTGGCCAAAAGCACAGGTGAAAAGAACGCTCTTAAAACGAGTTTTGAAGTTGGGGAGGGAGGAAGTAAGTGACAGGATTCCGGGATGAAGTTCCAGGTAGCAGGGCAGAGATGGCTGAAGGCTTGCCCACCAAAGGGGGTGGGGGAGTATGCAATGACATGAACCAGACCGGTGTTTCCCAAGCAGATGACATGACTTTCTAGTATGGTCACAGGAAGTCACAGGGGTAGGGTGGGACGAGGCCAGGGAAACTTCTGAATGTGAGGACGGGAAACCTGAATTAAAAATAAATAATAATCCTTGATATAGTGCCATTTCACGTCTTCGAGACGTTTCAATTACCTCCGGATTATTACCCCGGAAAAGCGATCTGCCAATCAACTAACAACTGGGTGCATACTTACTTCTAGGTAAACAGAGGCACGTGGAAAAAAAACTTGCCTAAGGTTTCGCCCTGCCCGGGAATCGAACACAGGTCCTCACGGTTGTGAGGCGAGTGCTCTAACCAATAGGATATGGGCCAAATTCAATATATTGGGGGATAGAGATCCAGTGGAGCTGAGTGAAGACAGGAGTGATGAGCTTGGGGAGCCTGATGTTGGAGAAAGCAAGGATTATAGAGGTCTGGATGGTCTTGAGTAGGGAAGAGCAGGGGAGTCTATCGAGCAAGACAGTTGAGTAAGCAAGCCTGGAAGTGATGAGGGCATGTGAACTCACAAAATAATCCTCAGAAATGTATTATTTTTGCTTTCCTAGGTACTTTATGGATTATTTTTACTTAATATTTTGCAATTAGTCTTTGGTTCCATGCAGAAAGTAGTGACAGCCAGTATCATTCTCTCTTACCTTTACTGTATCCTTTTAAATGTTTTGCCTGACCCTGATCAGTCAATGGTTATCTGAACTGGTCTCAGGTTTCATGAATTGATTTTTTAGAATAAATAAAATTTAAGAGATCCACAGTGATTACCCTACAGAGATATGGACTGAAATATATCCACAAATACACATTTAACCAAGTGTATTTTAACAAAGTGCAATCTACATTGACACTTCTGCACAGCAAGTTAATCATTTGAACACATTAAATTCAGAAACAATTAGTAAAGCACATTTTAAAAAAAAACATTTTTAAAAGTGTCTGCCTGCAGTTTTATATTAAAAACTAAGTTTTTTTTAATCAAAGAAAAAAACGATTTCCAACACTCTTTGTTGCACAGATCCCTGTTAATATTGAAACTTTAATTTCGACATTAATTCATGGGGGAGGGGGGGGGGGGGGATCAGATTTCGCCATACCCAAATCTGTTTGCTGGAGACTTGCATGTTGTTTCCTTCCCCTCTTTCTGCCAACGTTTTGGCCACGATTTGTTGCCAGAGTCATCAGCGTGAGAAACAGAAGGAGCAGTGCTGTGGGTGTAGCTGTCATCTCCTCAACTCCTGTCAACCATGTGCACCTGAAACACAGACCATGAGCACAGTTACTGCTGCACATCACACCCCACACCCTGATCTGCAGCTCCTCAGCCCAAGTCCTGCCCCCTCACAGCCTCACAAACACATCTGGACACACAGCAGCACTGTATTCAACACGTTGATGTCCATCACAAACAGCACCTCTCAAATAGCAAATAGCAGCAGTGAGTATGAAATACGTTACTTAAGAGTCATTTCACAGAGGAAGGGGCAGAGAAACCATGAAAGAAAGAAAGTCATCCAAATTGTCCGCTCACCTTTCCAGCTCAGAAATGCTGGCAATTGTGGCTATCGATTATTTTTCGTGAAATAGCAGCAAGAAACGCAGAAACTCCCTTCACTGAGATGCAAATCTCTTTGGGTGCAGCTTGTAATGAAAGTTAGCAGGTTAGGGGCGATGATCTATCTTATCATTAATGATCTTGAACAGGTTAGTGATCTTGTGCAACAGGTCATTCTGCAAAGACAATTTCTGAAACAGTGCATAAGAGGTTCATCTTACCCCGACTGAGAGATAACAAGCCACAGAACTGCTGGGAAATGCGAGGAACTCGTGTAGGTATCAGCCCACGTTCTCACAGTGCTCTGGTGTGACAGACCTCCAGCAGAACCGCCCAGAGCACTCCTTAAAGCAAGAGATTTAACATGAATGTGAAGGCATAGAGGGAGGGATTCTCAAATGAGCCCTTTTGCGAGTGTATCTCAAATATGCAAATACAATAATATATTTGGAGTAGCACCAACATATGTATGTTTATCAGATTGATGTTATGTTTAACATATTTCCTACACCAAGTGATCATTTCAGCATTATAACTTTTAAGAGGAAGGTTTTCAGGCAGGACTTGAAAGAGGGTTGAGAGAGGGCAAGGCAGAGGGGTTGAGGGAGATTGTTCCAGAGTTTCGGGGCGTAGTGGCCGAAAGCGCGACCTCCGATGGTGGGGCGGAGGGTGCGAGGGATGAGCAGGAGTCTGATGCCAGTCGAGTGGAGGCGCTGGGTGGTGGATTGGGGAGTGAGGAGGTCGGAGAGGTAGGGAGGTGCCAGGGAGTGAAGGGATTTGAACACAAGTGTGAGGATCTTGAAGTCAGAGGGAAGTAATTTGCAGTATGCTGTATGCTTTCGTTTGCTTTTTGTGTGGAAAATTTGAGTTGGGTTCCAACATGTTTTCCCCTTCTGCAAATGAAACTCAATCCACAATGTTAGAATGCAATGATAAAGAGCAGACAATCATCTGCAAAATTATCTTTATCACTAACATAGGTCAGGAATGTATAATAATAATAATAATCCTTGCATTTGATATAGCGCTTTTCACGTCTTCTAGACGTCCCAAAGCGCTTCACAGAATATACTGTGAAGTGAATTGACTGTAAAAACATAAAACTATGTTCGACTATAAAACATGGAATTTCAAGGAGTCTTAGCCTGTGTTGAACAACTTTACATAGTTTTGTGCTATTGTAAGCATAGGCTATGACTGTGTTTAATTTAGAAATAGATGCAGAATTTATGAATTTTAAAGAATTATGGGCTATCTAACAATTATAAGACAAATGGTCTTGAAGGCTAAGATTGGGTGAAATTTCAGCCTTCATTGAGGAGAACCCACGTTTAGTTCCTTTGAAGCAGTTTCTTCTGCAGGTCAAAAGTAGCGATTGATGGGTTTTGGCATGTGTCAAATAATAATAATAATCCTTGCATTTGATATAGCGCTTTTCACGTCAGGAGGACGTCCCAAAGCGCTTCACAGAACACACTGTAAAGTGAATTGACTGTATATTTGTGGGCGAACGCGGCAGTCAATTGCGCACAGCAATGTCCCACAAACAGTCGTAGATTGAAAATGACCAATTTATTATTGTTTTTTGTTTTGGAGGGATTATTATTAGGTGTGTGGGGTAAGGAAACTTGCCCAAGGTTTCGCCTGCCTGGAATTGAACTCAGGTCTCTCACTTGCAAAGCGAGTGCTCTAACCACTGAGCTACAGGACTCCTCAATGCCTGGGTCACCTGAAAAATCACATAAAAGGATCAGAATGAATGACAAACAACAACAAAAACTACATCAGGGAATTGTCTTTCAAATGTAATTACTCTTTGCAATAAATATGTTCACTCTTCTCATTCAATAAGTGGAAAATATTTTATTTTTGGACCATTTACATTGAATTACATTTTCCAATGGTGGAAATATTTAGGCATGGAAAGGAAAATCACAATCATAAGAAACTGTATCACTTGAGTAATAAAGCTGCTACGTTTTAGGGAAAATACTTTGGCACATCTGCAAATATTTTCAGTCATCTCTCTGAACTCACTAATACCTATAATTTGTTGAAAAGAATATAATGAACCATATAAAGAATTGGAAAGGGAACAATTGATGGAATTCCTCAGTGAATATGAATATATGCTGTTGAGTTAGTCCCCGTTGAAAGTATTACGTCCAACTATTTTGGGATGGAGGAAACCACAGTGGTTTTATTTGTAGCCTCTTTGAGTCTATTAAAATAACTCAAAACCTGGGATTATTTATGAATTTGGCAATGATAGTAATAACAATGCTCATGATAATTTTATAATCTCAATTTGGAAAAAAAGAAACAGAGAATGAGCAAGAGAGGGATTCATACAGGAGAGAAAGGCAGAGAGCTGGATTGCCATGTAAATTCTAACATTGGAGAAGAGATCTAATTTCAGTTATTTTCCAGTATTAAAACCTTAACCAGCAGTTTTACACCTGTAAGCAGAGTACTCTGTTCTATCCTGACATGACAGCAATTTGCTGCCAATCACTTGCATCTGTTTAAAAGCAGCATCAATATCATATGGATGTGAATCGTTATATATATTTAAAAAACTGTTTAAATAACAATGGCAGACGAAAGTGTTCTGCATTGGGGTCAAATGCAATCAGCATACTTTCAAGTACAACATGGGGGAATGCCACTTAGCAAAGAGGCATTTCAAATTGGAAAATTAATCTTTAAAGCCTTCACAAATAAATGTGTCAAAAGAAAATTCGAGTACTACCCAAAACATAGACTGTTTCACACTTGAGCATTTTCCAACATTCTCACAATATCATCCCGGGACAGACGAATGATTTTTAAAAACCCAAATATATATTTATTTGTTGGTAGAATATATATTTACAATCATCTCAAAGAAACAATTTCCGTGACAGAAAGAAAAACCCAATTCATTATTTTCCAGTCACAGGAAGTAATAGACCCGTCTCCTTGTAAACATTTGTTTTATTCCTTTCATTTCACTTCAAACTGCAATGTATTATTCTGTTAATTATGTCCATTTCATATGTTCGCTTGAATTTTCCTTTCAGTCTTTCAGTTCTTAATTGAAAATGTTCTCTTATCTTACGATATCATTTCCATCCAAATGCATTTTTCTGTTGTTTTTAAAAAAATATTTGGACCATACTTGTTATTCTTTCTTTGTCTCCCTCCATCTCTCTTTCTAACATTTATAAAGCTAACATTGGAATTAGAGATATGTGAGGGGGAGCAAGGACACCAACATATTTGAAGCCCACTTGAATATCATGATGAATATCATCATGAATACAGCATCTCTGCTCAGTGCTTCTCTAACTGAGCAGGTAAGATCACACACATTGTGCAAAATCAATTTTTATCTTCCTAAAACATGCCACATACTGTGTTTTACTGTGATATACAGACAGACATGAAGAGTTAGGCAGCTAAAACAGCAAATTAATGTCCATTCCTCCTTGCTCCTGCCTCTGGTATTGGAAATGAGCAGAAGCAGGGAGTACTGTGAGTGATGAAGAAAGAAAAAAATTAAGCCATTTTGTTCAGTTTTCACCAGTATCCTCTTGTATCTGGCTTCAAGTTCTTCACCCTACCCCCACTCAGGGATAATAGTCAGTGTGCAGTCTTGGTGTTCAAATTGGCCTTCAAGTGTCCTCTTTCAAATCCCCTTTGCTATGACTGCCTTTTTCTACCTTGTCTACTTATGTCGTATCTCACCCTCTCTGCTGATATCTCATTCAGGCCCTCATCTCCTTGACCATAGGCTCCTTAAACACTCACCTCACAGGGATACTGTTAACGGATTTAAAGGTCAGGACAAGGATCTTAATTCCATTTACTGAGTTACTGAGAGCAAGGATAATAATACAATAATAATAATAATCCTTGCATTTCATATAGCTCCTTATTATGTCTTTGAAAGATCTCAATGTGCTTCACAGAATATACTGTAAAGTGAATTGACTGTATATTTTGTGGGCGAAACGCCGCAGCCAATTGTACACAGCAGTGTCCCACAAACTTGCTTACAAGGCAAGTGCTCTAACCACTAAACTAAATTTTGCCTGGCAGGGCGAAATGTTGGGCAAATTTCCTTATTCCACACTCCTCTGTTTACCCAGCAGTAAGTAGGAACCTGGTTGTTAGTCGATTGGTGGATCGGTTTTCCGGGGATAATACTCCTTAAAAAAAATAATAATTTGATCACTCAATCCACGACTGTTTGTGGGACACTGCTGTGGGCAATTGGCTGCCACATTTCGCCCACAAATATACAGTCAATTCACTTTACAGTACATTCTGTGAAGCGCTTTGAGACGTCTAGAAGACGTGGAAAGAGCTATATCAAAATGCAAGGATTATTATTATTATTACGGGACTCCACGTTAAGATTTATCTCATTAATCCTGCCTTTTCCCTCCTCTCCCCAGCTACCCCACTCCCAGCTTGGGCTCCCAGACAGTTGTTTGAAGTGCTTTGAGATGTCCTCGTAACTTGAGAGACACTCTATAAAATCTAATTGTTGCTGCTATTGAGTTTGGAGCTTTAAAATTATTTTGCCTGTAGTGAAAGAAAGTGTTAATATAGATACTGGTGAGCTGAAACTCACACAAATACACATTCCTGAATCTATCGGTAACATTTAATTTGAGAATGGGTATTTCATTTTTGTTTGTAAATGTTAACATTGTAAGTGATGAATCTGATTTCGCCTTTACACGTAGCAGCACTGATACAAAACAATGCCACATCTTGAGGCGGGTGAATCCCAGCATTTGTTACATGTTTTATCATTGTTTTCAATTAATCAGGTCCTATCTTTATCAATTATCAATAAATGTAATTGAATTCAAGCAGTTATTTTACTGCACATAGTTGTTGCAAGTTTTATTCCACTTTTGTCTGGAGTGCCATCTTGTGGTACATTATAATTTTGTGCATTGTAAACCCAATGGTTAAACAATTTGTCTATAATAGTTAATGCAGTTAATTGGACAGTAATCATAGTGTACTACAGTGGAAAAGAAATGGAAGAAGAAATATGCAGCCAGATAAGAGAGATGAGCAAAAATAATAAAGTAATAATTATGGGGGGTTTCAATTATTCTCAGATATATTGGCAAAAACAACAACAAAATTACATTTATAGAGTACCTTTCATGTCGGGAGGACATCCCAAAGCACTGTAAATTCAGGTGTCGGGGCTCGAGCATGGGGGATGGGTGGTGTAGGGATGAGGGAAGGCAGAAAGGTGGGAGGGAGACCAAAGGCACGGTCAAAGAGAAGAGTCATGAGATCGGCCTTGAAGGATGCAAGGGAGGAAGCGAGGTGAAGGGA